CGACACGGAGTCGCCGACAAACTTGCACGACCAATACATCTCAAACCCTTGACCTAAATTTAATTGTTGTTCTCATTCAAATCTAAATGTGAAGTTACAGTAGTTCAGTGAATACTGTTTGATGGGGGAGGGTGGTTGTACAGCCTTGCATTATAAGCCCTTTCAACTCTATTTGTTCGCCTAGCATCCCAAGTATTTTAACCGAAGGTCTTCAGAATGAGCCAAACAAGACACGAGAAAAGCGAGGTGATCGGGAAATGATACACAAGACGGATTACTCGCATCGAGGCTACTATAAGTTTCGTATACAGTAGACAGCCTACCTCCATCAGAGGCACTGTGCTGTACAAACATCGATAATCCTTCTAGTATCCAAGTCTCAAGACGGCGTGCACACACGATCTCACCTGCTACACATGTGTCCTCGGTCTCAATCAAACAAACAGGGCATAACAACATTCAATGATCGCCAAGGCTATGACAAAAGCCGAGGACAAACACAACAACCAAGAAACCAAGAAGCAACTCACCTCCCCAGCCTCTATCCTCAATTCCCAGCACCTAGGTGTCTCCGCTTTGCTTATGTGCATACTGTACGGTGTAGAGCAGACATAACGCCGTTCCATTTCCAATCCAGCTGAACTGTAACCCAGAGAAACGGGTAGAACACTTGTCATATCGTTCATATCCACTCTTCATTATTGTTTTCATGGCTGCTGTATACTGTCCTGTACTGTCGCTATCTCACCCATATCAGAGGCTTGCTATTGCAGCCAAGGTTACATCGCACCGTTCAAAGGGGAGAGGTTGTGATTCGAATGTTTTGATTTGTCGGTTTCCGTGCAATCGTGGTCTATAAAAGTCTTGGGAATCCCCCGTGGGATGATATGGTGTGACTGATATTGGGTGACTTTCCTTACTTGCTCCTTTTTGTCTCTTGATTCTTGCGGGTTGGGCTTGGTTCGGAGCTTGCGGAGTGTGTACTATTCAGGCTGGAGTGGGATTCAATCCATTGGCTTGTGGCTGGTGTTGCTTGCTGTGACTCGGGACTTGTTCCGGTGGTTTCTGAGTCATATGATGGCTTGGTTGGTATTCTGAGTTCATGGCTCTGACATGTCTTTAGAATGAATGGTGGGTTTATATACGTTTCTGTCTGTAATGTGTCCACGCCTGGTGATATCTTGAAGAGGCTATATGGTGGACTCACCAGTGACTGACCGAATTGTCAGTACCTCAAGATACTGTAAGCTCCAGTATGACATCCATTGATCACGGACTGAGTATCCTGGATGAAGGTACATCCTATGTTGATCACACCCACAGAGACGAGTTGACTGTGTCGGCAGTTCTGGGCCAATTGCACATCTAACAGATATATCACAATCACTTGCCTGTCCCGGGTGATTCGCAATGCTAGGTTGATATCCCTCTCTATAGGAATCAAGTTTCATCCGTACTTCCCACATTTCTGAGTCATATCAACCCACCCTGCAGGGTCCGGCGAAATACGGCACCATATGGCGGTCTTTCGGCAGTGGTATCCAATCGACAGTGAATTGGAACACGAATATCGCCGATTGAGTGTCTCACGACTCTACAGCATAACAAAATACCGACTATGGCCGCATATTAAGACGATGTAGATGGGAGAAATCGGACGATGACGGAAAGTGGATCTTCGTACTTCCCCAGATTTTGATTCGCACAATACGCTCTAGCGCCGGTTGTGAACGGATGGCAGGGAACTCTAGGTTGGAAGAGCTTCGTCGAACGGAATTGATATGCGGGTAAATCCGGCGGGGTTTCGGGGAGAGATGGAAACGATATAGGGCTGGCTATTAGTGATGGGGGGATAATCGCTTAAGTCATAACTTATCTTGCCCGACTTAAGTTACAGTATTCGTATTCATAATTTTCTCCAAACACGCAAATAATATCGGAGATCTTCTCCTCAGCGGTTAATTTCTCCTCACCGGGACTTGGGTCCCCTCAGTCTCCAATTTTTTCCCTCTTTTTTTTTGCCGAGTTGGACACTAATTAGGCAATTTTTGCTAGCTGGGTTGACTTTGCGCTAAAAGATATCTACTGTACGGTATAATGTTCTAGTCAACACTTCGCATCACTGTAAATTCATACCGAATTCATATGGGCAGAAAAGGAAAAAAAAAAATAGAAACCAAGTAGACAGTACATTGCTTAACAATAGGAAGCACGCCATTGTGCAGGTACCCAGTACGCGGGAGCCCCCTTTGGGTCCCGGCCACACACCGATTCGCCCAAAACAGCAACGCGATCAGAAGCTTATCAAAGATTTTTCCTTGATATAGGGAGCTTCCCTTCCTTCACCCTTCCCTCTTGGTATCATCAACTTGGTAATGGCTGGCAGTACGCGAGCTATTAGCTCGATGGCTTCCATCATGCAGCTGTCGTCGGTGTCGCGCCGGTCAATTACGACCTCTCTTCGCGCTCCGATCCAGGCTAAGACCTCCATCACACGCATCGCTCGCCGTGGTTACGCGGATGCCGCTCCCACTCCTACTCCTACTCCTTCGCCGGCTCAGCCTCCTAAGAAGCGCTTCAGAGTCCTTCGCTGGGCCTGGCGTCTGACCTGGCTCTCCGCCATTGGTCTGACTGGAGCGGTCGCATACAGCATTTTGGAACTCCGTCAACCCCCCGAGCAGTTCGCGCCTGACCCGTCGAAGAAGACCCTGGTCATTCTCGGTAGGTTCCGGTCACCATCCCCGATTACGCTCAGCTGGATGGTCGCTAACATGGATTGTTTCTGGCAGGAACTGGCTGGGGCTCCGTCTCCCTCCTGAAGAAAATTGATACCGAGAACTACAATGTTGTCGTCGTTTCCCCCCGTAACTACTTCCTGTTCACTCCCCTGCTGCCCTCATGTACCACCGGTTTGATCGAGCACCGCTCGATCATGGAGCCTATTCGCAACATCCTGCGCCACAAGAAGGCCAGCGTTAAGTTCTACGAAGCCGAAGCCACCAAGATCGATTACGAGAAGCGCGTCGTCCACATCAGTGACGATTCCGAGATCAAGGGTGACGTTGCTCACACTGAAGTTCCCTTTGACATGCTCGTGATCGGTGTTGGTGCCGAGAACGCGACTTTTGGTATCCCCGGTGTTCGCGAGAACTCCTGCTTCCTGAAGGAAGTCGGCGACGCTCAGAACATTCGCAAGCGTATTATGGACTGTATCGAGACTGCCTGTTTCAAGGACCAGACCGAGGAGGAGGTCAAGCGTCTGCTGCACATGGTTGTGGTTGGCGGTGGCCCCACTGGTGTTGAGTTCGCCGGTGAGCTCCAGGATTTCTTCAACGACGACCTCAAGAAGTGGATTCCCGAGATCAAGGACAACTTCCACGTCACTCTCGTCGAGGCTCTTCCCAACGTTCTCCCTATGTTCTCCAAGCAACTGATTGACTACACTGAATCCACCTTCAAGGAGGAATCGATCTCTATTCGCGCTAAGACCATGGTCAAGAAGGTTACCGACAAGTACATCCAGGCCGAGGTTACCAAGCCCGATGGATCCAAGGAACTCGAGACTATCCCCTACGGTCTGCTCGTCTGGGCCACCGGTAACGCTGTTCGCAACGTTGTCCGTGACCTGATGTCCCAACTCCCCGCCCAAGCCAACTCCCGCCGCGGTCTTGCCGTCAACGAGTACCTCGTTGTGAACGGTACCGAGAACGTCTGGGCCGTTGGTGACTGCGCCATTGCCAACTACGCTCCCACTGCCCAGGTCGCTGGCCAGGAGGGTGCTTTCCTGGGTCGTCTCTTCAACATCATGGCCAAGAGCGAGGCCCTCGAGAAGGAGCTTGAGGCTCTCTCCGAGCGCCAGGCTCTTGCCAAGGGTGATGAGGAGCGCAACCAGATCTTCGACGAGATCCGTGAGCGCCAGAAGCAGCTCCGCCGCAACAAGCAGATCGGTCCCTTCCAGTACTCGCACCAGGGTAGCTTGGCCTACATTGGTAAGGAGCGTGCTGTGGCCGATATCAGCTGGCTGAGCGGCAACATCGCCAGCGGCGGTACCCTGACCTACCTGTTCTGGCGCTCTGCCTACCTGAGCATGTGCTTCAGCACTCGCAACCGTGTCCTTGTCTTGACCGACTGGGTCAAGGCTAAGCTCTTCGGCCGTGACGTCTCCCGCGAGTAAACAACTTCAGCGTTGACCGTCTGTACTATTGCCAAACCAACCCCATCCCTACATTTTCTTTTTCTTTCACTCCTATATCAGCGACACATTAACACTGTGTCTTGCCACGCCACCTCTTCAGCCACCACTTTACGCCCCCTCTCTCTCTACCCATATACGTATGTCGTATATCTTGTTTCTACTTTCTCTTTGCCACTGCAGCTGTGATAGACTTATTCATTTTCCCGTCTTGTTCTTATGACCCTGCCATCGGTGCTGTGATCCGTTCCCCTCGCTTGCGGGGGGCAAAAACATTCAATTTGCCCTTCTTCTTTGTTTTGCTTTCGGTTTCTTTTTCTTGGGGACTGTACGCTATATAGGAATTTATAGACTGGGTCTGGAATCGTTGTCTTGAACCTGTTACTGTTACTCTTATGAACTTGTATTTCTTGTCAATGTAGTCACTTGTCTAATACTATGTAAAATTGAGTTTCTTTCGGGCGTGGGTATTCTGAACTCGCAATGCGTATGCCGGCGCAGCAACCTATATGTACATTTGTAGTCTTGGACTTATTCTGATTAAGCTAGTGATGGACTACTGAGTGACACAGTATGGGATATGTACATTAACCTCAAATTGTCCAGAGATACACAAATCTACCTAAACAACAATCAGGAGAAGAGGGAAAGGGGGGAGGAGGATGTGGAGAGAGATGAACATGACAAAGAGGGTAATATGAAGACTAGCGAAGTAGGTATCGAAAACTCCAGACAAGAGAAAGGGTGTATCAGAGAAGGAACAGGGGAAGAAAACAGAGCAGAGAAAGCCCGGGCAGACTATCAAATCTTAGAACAAGCCCCAACGACTCCGCGTTTCCTTGCCAGGAGGAGCACGGTCTGGAGCTCGACTGCGGCCGTCGAGTTGTCGGACACTTTCGATCTTCTGCAGAGCCAGTTCCAGCAACTCTTTCTTGCGGATGATGTCGAGATGGCGGCGGATACGAGGGTCCTCACGGGCAAAACGTTCGACTTCGGCGTCGGAAAGGTGTCGGCCGAGTCTTGTGTCGAGCTCGCGGGGGAAATTATAGTAGAACTCGGAGAGAAGTTCGACGTTCAGGAAGAGTACGGCCGTTGAGGTGAGCTTGTCTGCTACCACGTCCAAGAAGACTTCTGGGCACTGGTACTTGTTCTTTTGCGTGGCGCATTGCTTGGAACGAACGGCAAGAAGTCTCATCTTGATCAAGTCGGCTCGATCACGTAGGAAGAGGCCCTCCCGTCCTGAAGTATACATGTTAGTGTCTGTCAATAGACAAGATAACTGGAAAAACTAACCTCTTTCTAGTAGAGCAGCACTGAATCCACCTGCGCCACCCTCACCGTTGCCCTCCAGTACAACGTCGCCCTTTCGCACGCGGTCGATGAAAGAAATCACGTCTTTCAGCTTGCGTTTTCCAACAGTGTCTTCCACGTGCTTCATGGCTTGCTCGCAGTGCTTGAGTTCGTCCTTGAGAACCCTGCCCACGTTGTCTCTCCCCTTGGCCCACTCGGGATCTTCAACCTCGATCTCGAACTTGTACGGCTTGATGCAGTTTTCGACTTGATCACTGGTGCTGAAGAATCTGTCGTTTAAGATGGTGTTGCACGCATCTGTGATTTGCTTGTGGGCGCCGGGGTGGGAGGCGAATGTGGAGGATGATAGGAGTTGGTCCACGTGGTTGTGGAGAGCATTAGCGACGACGGTAGTAGCCAGTCGACCAATTCCAAGTTTTGTTAATGAAGAAGTAGAAGCATCTAGCTTCCGGTGCCAATAAAGAGACTCGGGATCGGCCTTGGGAAGGTCCTTCAGTGAATCCAGTTCCAGCATGGGGGGATCTAATTCTTCAACGGGCTTATTCCAGTAACGCTGGGCCAGAATATCCATGACCCGCTGGTCCAGTTCAGCCTTCAGCATCTCCCGGACCTGCGGTCTGCCGAAGCTTTCTGCAAACTCCTTGAAGGAATGCTTGAAACTATCAAGGCTTTCGGCCAAGTGAGACTCTGCGCTCAAGGGTCGGTCGTTGTATTGAACCTTGAACTCATAGGTTGCTTCCTCCAGCTCCTGGCTGATGGCATCCCTTGTTCCAGACAAACTGGATGCCATGGTCTGCTCGAGAACGTGCATCAGGGTCTTGCGTAGCGTCGATACACCAACCGAGACATCGGAGTGGGGACCAAATTCGGCAGGATGAGCAGAGAAATAAGCATGTTCGTTCTTAAGAATGGCACTGGTGACATTTCCACTGCCTCTCGAGAACAGAGCATTTGACTGAGGAATGCGGCTGACAACGCCCACATAACCAAGTCGAAGGGGGTACTTCTTATCAGATAGAACGTCGCGGCCACGCTCGGGGCTAACAAGGTCCATCTTGGTGATCACACCGATAGTGCGTTCACCCCGAGGGTCGACTCGGCGGCTGGCTCGGAGTGCTGTAGAATTCGCCAAGTCAACGTCTGCGGCTGAAATCGCCAGAATGACATTGGGAGGCTGGATGTATTTATCACAGAGATCATTGATCTTTTGCTTGAGCTCTGGGGGTTGGTCATGGCCAGCAACTTGGATATAACCTGGTAGGTCGATCAAGGAGAGATCCGGAACGTTGGGAGAATAGATAGTGAGCTGGATAGGATCGTCTGTAACGCAATCCTTTTCTGGAACAGCAAGGTTGAGATCGGTGAGTGTGCGCTGAACTTGGGTGAAATCTGTGATCTTGCCAAGTCCTAGAGCAGGAAATTCACCGTACTCCGACTGGGCATTGGGCGTGTTGACCAAGGTCAGTTCGATGGGCCGTCGAGTCACCATGTTCGAACCCTTGGGCAAGAACTCATGGCCGACGATAGCTTCAAGGACCGAGCTCTTACCCGAAGATTGGGATCCGATGACGACGATTGATGGCAATGTGAGTGTGTCGGATTGGCCGATTGTCTGAAGGATATTTCGAATCTCAATCATCTTGCGGGTGAGAAGCATCATTTGGTCGTCTTCCGCGGCATCCCTCGCCGGACGTACATCGTCCTCCTCTGATTTATCATAGCCAAATGCTGCAGTAGTGGCCGCCGCGGCAGCAGTCCCAGTCCGACTTTCTTTCGGTTCCTTGTTCCCACCACCGGACTCGCCCTTTTGGGACTCCTCATCAAGACGAAGAATCTTCTGCATCCATTCGGGCATATCGAGGTCTCCGGTCGTTTTGTTCCACCCACGTTGTGTCTGGTCCGCCACATCCTGCAGTCCCTGGAACAAAGTCGATGCGGTATTCCCCGCAGTCTCCGACGCTTGTTTGAAAATATCCATCGCATAGTTTCCAGCCTCTGCAAAACAAGTTAGTCCATTATTCCACCACAGTGAGCTTGGTATGCGCAACGTACGGGTTGCTTGGTATTGGAAGTACGCCAAACCCGCGATTGTTGCACCTCCAAACATTGCCGGGACTCTGACAAGCTTCAACGCCAGCTTTGGAAGCATTCGTGCAAATGAGATCGATCGAACCGCGGGTACATTATGAATGGCATTTGCGCCTACTGGCCATGCGCGTCCTCTGAGGGCAGCTCCACCATCTGCGCGTAGCAGTCCTCCAGTCCTCGATCCTGCATTATGAATATGGCGAGAAAGGTGCCCGTTCCGCAAGAGCGGACCGAGTCGATGGGAGAGGATCCTCCCACTCATTGCGATGACATTCGAAGATGGAAAGAAAAGTGAAGTCTGGACTACGGATCACTGACATCAAGGATAACAATCCCCGTGACTTGCGTCAGTGGCCGCTTCGTCTCCCGTAATGGAAGTGAGTCACGTGTGGCATGACGTGCTGGGCAAGGGAAGTGATTGTATTCTTTTTTGTTGATTTGAAGCCTTCATTCTTCTTCGGTGTTCGTATCTCGAATCTGTGCTCAGCCTCCAAGCATCATTCATTGGAATTGTCATTGGGACGCGTAGGCATCTTCACCGGTTCCCAACAGTCGGTGTCTCTTCCACCTCCCACCCCACGAAATCGTCCATTGATTACGTTGGACTCCCCACGAGCACCCTGCTATTTGGAACTTCATAGTGGTATCATCTTGAAACAATTGGTGCATTTAGACGTGACTCGATAAAGTATCATTGATCTGTATCGGATCGACAGCAACACCATGTGTCGATTCCTGGTAGGTCCAATCTCACCAGCTCCATGTTAACTGCTAATCTTTAGACTAGATATATAAAGGACGAAATGAGATCCGGCTCAGCAAGCTGATCACTGAGCCAAGCCATTCGATTCTCACTCAATCTTATGACTCACGTCTGAGACTGGTAGACTTCCCATTCCCCATGGATAAATTCATAACGCAATCAACTAACACAAACATTCAGGACAACCGTCGACCTGTTAATGGTGATGGATTTGGTGTGGGCTTTTACACAGACCCCAAACTTGGGCCTGAGCCTTGCATCTTTACCTCAACGCTTCCCGCATGGAACTGCGAGAATCTAGAAAGACTCGCCTCAAAGACGTGCTCAGATCTCATCTTTGCGCATGTTCGAGCAACTACTGAAGGTGCTCTCGCTGAAAACAACTGCCACCCATTCCAACACCAATCCCTAATGTGGATGCACAATGGTGGTATTGGTGGATGGCACTACATCAAACGTGCACTCGGAAGCTCACTAGCAGACAAGTGGTACCTGGGTGTGAAGGGTGGCACTGATAGTGAATGGGCATTTGCACTTTTCCTTGATCTTCTAGAGAAAGAAGGAGTAGACCCGAGCTCTGACCCCGGCCCCGAGGGATTCGGACAGGCACTTCTTCGTCGCGTCATGATGAAAACCATTGCTCGTATCAACGAGATGGTTCGGGAAATTCCTGAGAAATACAATGTCACTGGAGTTGAAACCCGGAGTCTCTTGAACTTCGCCGTAACTGATGGCCACACCGTGATCTGCACTCGGTATATCAGCAGTAAGACAGACGAGCCCGCAAGCTTGTACTTCTCCTCTGGTACAAAGTGGAAAGAAGGAGAGACAAAGGGTCACTTCAAAATGGAACGACACGACAAAGGTGCCGACATTGTCTTAGTGGCCAGTGAGCCTATCACTTTTGAACGACGTAAGTACTCCGTTGTTTTTAATTGAATATCGGTCATACTAATCTCGAGACAGACAACTGGGTATCTGTTCCTACCAACTCTGTCGTAACAATTCACAAGCAGACTGTGATGCTACACCCGATCCTCGATGAGTTTTATGGCGAGGATCTCAACCACGACCGTTCCTCTTGCTTTGCTGTATCCAAGGGCCTTGTCAGCACTGCTCCTGGCACTACCGTTCCTCCGCAGAAGCCGACCGAGCCCTGTGCCCCTTCAACATCAGGCAACGGTGCTAGCTTGGATGGTATTCGACCCCCACATGCCACTGAATGCGCTGTTTCGCACTAGGGTCCACGCAAAGGGTGTACCCTTGGTCGTCAAATCTGGGACGCGGTCTCCAAATTGCAAGCATAGATTTAACGCGGCGTCAGGCACCAAGCACATTCACGGGTACTTGGTTCAGGTTGGAGTTTTTAAATTGGAATGGAGCGTTCTTGTTCGTTCGATATTTTGGGGCACGTATATCTGCATCATCTAAATCCAACTTTTTTTGGTTCACTTGGGTATAGTTTTTCAGGCTCAAATGGTTTTGTGTCATTTTTTGGCTGGTTTTTGACTGCTGAATCTTAATGTACACATGATTGAAGATCAAATACTTTCTATTCTTCGTCCTGTAGAAAATCAACAACAGCTAAGGAATTGAATATCAGCAGGAGATCTTGAAGCCATTGGACTAAGTAATGATTACCTTTTCTAAATTCTTCAGGTCGATCTTGAACGATCCAATGCCCGCAATCGATATCGACAATCTTTGACTGGGGAAAAAGTGAAGAAATGAGCGGGAAAGCAGTGTCAGGTATATAGTGACTCTGCAGGCCTCGGAGAAACAGAGTAGCAGAGTTGAATTTGAAAGGCCCATCCTTGTCCGGAAAATCACCCAATGGTCCCATGGCGTTCTTTAAAATGTCTAGAGGAATGCGAAGCTGCAAGTGAGGCTGATCCTTGCTTTTGACGAAATTGCTTAGTAGCCATAGTCGTACCGTTGGTGACTGGGTTTACCTGTTAGCTATTTAAGAGCATTTGGTGAGGATGTGATATTGATTACCGATTCGTATTCACGGAGAATCTCATCTGCCTCTAGATGAGATCTTACCTTGGCATCGTTGGCCTTTGCCATTCCTTCAAGATATTTTGTAAAGTATGGCTTTAAGGGCAGATTAATGGGGCCATTATCGATAGCAACGACTTTCGATACGAGGTTTGGATAGCGGAGAGCAAGTGTCATGGCCGTTTTTGCACCCCTGAAATCGAAGTCAGTTCTTAATCATGGGAAACGAAACTGGGGGTATAATCTATTCACATTGAGTGGCCAATCACTGCTGGCCGTTCAAGTCCATGTTTTTGGATGAATGACTCAACATCAAGTGCTAGGTCGACATAGTGATGGCTAGGGTGATGGCCTGAATCTCCGTGGTTTCGTAGATCCTATTCGATATTAGACTTGCTAGGTTAATTTGGACAAAGGACAGTACTAATGTGTAGACATCTCGGGAGAGCTCCCTAGATAGCTTTCTGGAGAAAGGGGCAATCAGCACAAGCACCCGGTGACTATAGAAAACAGAAATCGGTTACCTACTCACGGGTTTATTTTCTCGTTTTGATCCAAGAAACCCGTGTAGAAATAGGATAGGGGCTCTCTTGCTCCCATCTGGTCTGTCTGTTCCTCGGGGGGCGCTGTGCAATTCATAGGCCAATGGAACTCTTGCCGGGGCAGATCCAGCTAACCCTCGTCGAAACACGTTTTTTTCTGCTTTGAGCTTGAACATGGGGTTTATAGTCCAGTGATCGATATATAGAGAGTTGCAGGAGGTCTCAAGCGTGTTGCGGAGTGGAAGTTGGTTTTGAAAGCCTTGACTATCATAAAGCCGAATATGCCGGCAACTATATATTTCACCGAAAATGTCTGGGTGGGTCACCACAACAAACTCCGGCTCATGAATATAGCCTACACTCCATTGCAGGCTAGAATTCATTGAATACCAGTAGTAGATTTAGTAATCTACCTTGAAGCAATTATTAAGCACCAATCTAAATAGTTCCCAGGCTTGTTTTGACACTCTGAAGTTGGCTTTTATACGTCAGAAGATAAAGACGACAACAGAAGGTTGATGCTATACAGGGTAATGTAAACAAACGGCTGGCTTTAATACTATTCATACCCTAGATTAGTCTTATTGAAGCAACAGTAATAATTTTCTTTACTTGTTTGACTGGTGTATCATAGTTCCTAGCTATAGTTCAGGGTAGTACAGAGTCACGTGTATCATGACGTAAGGCGACTGTCGAATCAACAGACAATCGCATCTCATTTCTTCCTCGTCCCTCTTCCCTTTCAAATTGTCCCATGGAGGCACTTGGCTTGAAACTTTCAAAATGAGGAAGACACTTCTTCTCGTGTTTATTCACGGCTTCAAGGTATGATCTTTTGAAATCCGTTGTTGACACGATTCCCCGCAAAGAATTCCGCTCTCCGCACCAGCACATGCACGAGACTCTGTCGCAACAACTGACAGATCCCTTGACTCTAGGGTGGTGACGATACATTTGGCACCTTTCCAGAACATCTGCGCGTTCTCGCAAGCAAGGCATTGCCAGCCATCAATGTCGTCACAGCCGTCTACCCCAAGTATGAGACTAAAGGTGACCTGAAAGAATGTGTTGGGAGGTTGCGTGACTGGTAAGATCGCGTTCAATTTATATATGAATCCATTTAGACTAAATCTGCTTTCTCAGGCTGCAAGATACTGTTATTGATCTGGAAGTCGCCAACCATACTGCATCGCCCACCGTTGATCCCTCCGTTCATGTTGCTCTGATCGGTCATTCAATGGGAGGAATAGTAGGAGCCGAGGTTTTGCTTTTATTAGCAGCTGAGCAACCAATTTCACATGGTCCGACACCAAACACAGAACATATTTCAAGTGAGACCGACCCTATCGTGGAGCCGGGCACATTCATGTTCCCTCATGTCCAAGGAGTTCTTGCCTTCGACACTCCATTTTTAGGTATAGCCCCAGGAGTCGTGTCTTATGGCGCGGAAGAGCATTATCGAAATGCTGCCACCGCCTACAATACCTTTTCAGAAGTTGCAGGATTGTTCGGATACGGCGGGAAAGGCGACACCTCGGATAAGCCCGCCGACAAAGCACCTCCAAAAGAAACACCCAAAGCTTTGCCTGCAGCTGATGCTGCTGCAACACCTCAGTGGCAGAAATGGGGCCGATATGCCATGTTTGCCGGCGCGGCTGGTGCAGTTGCTGCAGGTGGTGCAGCTGCCATGTATACTCAGCGACAAAAGCTCACCGACGGGTTCACATGGGTATCATCGCATCTTGAGTTTGTCGGTTGTCTCGCGCGCACTCAGGAGCTGCGCCAGCGTCTCGTGCGTCTTTCGAGTGTGAAGGAGGAACGTGGAATCGGGTGCGTGAATTTCTACACATGCCTTGGAAAAGGCGCATCTTCTCTCGTGGAGAATACATCAGCAAGCCAAACATCCTTCAGTCAAAAAATTATTCGATCAAAGAACAGGACCTTCTGCTCCTTACCAAATGAGGTGGAGAACGGAGAGGAGTCTCGAAGCCCGGGGCTTCTCTGGAACAAGGCTGTCAACGACCGCGCCACCGATGAGGTGAATGCGCACGTCAACATGTTCTTATCAAAGCAGAATCCTGCTTTCTTCGAGATGCTTAGTGAAGCGTGTGCGGTACTAGTTAAGTCAATCGACAAAGGCTGGTACAACTCGTCCACTCAATCATCCGAGCCAGATCCATCCAAACAACCAGACGCAAAAGGCACAACCGATGAAGACTTCATGGATGCCGATGATGTGGTCGTCGTTGACTGAGGTCATAAGCACTGACTTGCTGGACTTGTAAGTCCACAATTCACCTTGTGTTTCATTGCATTCGAAGGCTCTACATGGAGTCCAAGTGATCTCTCCCCTGATCGGCGGGTCACCTGGCTTAGACTTTGGTCCGCGCACCGTATTCCCGCACACAACGAATGGCATGCGGAGAAACACGACTACAGCGGTAGCAATTTATTCTTCGCAGACAAGCCAAGCTAAATAACCGCTTTCAACATCCCGCACCTTTCCAGATCACGGCATAGCTGCCGTATTCACTGCTGCCCTCTACCATTATTAGCAGTCATGCCCGAGATCGTCTCTGCGGACTCTTCCTTCGGCTGGAAGATCCTGCCACTTGTTTCACTTTTTCTCGAAGATCGTCTATCCCACCGATCCTACCTGGATCTGGTGTGACGTGGCCCATGATAGCTCGGGATTTGCTCGGCCAGACTAGCCGCACACAGCCGGTGAAAGGCCAGGGACTTGATAATACGTGATAACGCTTCCAGGTTTGCATGCGCCTCCTGTGCCGCTTTGCATAAGTTGCAAGCATTGTGTGCCTACGCCATTCCGGATGCAGGTTCCAATTTACAGATGATTGTGAGGGCAGATGAAGTGCTCGTCAACTTCTTCCCAGATAGATCTAGTGGCTAACCCGACACGGGGATAGGCGAAGTCTGAGACATGAAGAAGACTTTTATTTTCCATGCGTGCACCAGATTGTGATTACGACATGCATGCATGATACAAGACATGAGAAATTACGATACAAATGGAGACTCGAGAAAAGCGAGATAGAAATCAATTGATTGTGTCTTCTATTTGCTTCCAAGTGGTATTCTAGACCCGCAATAACACGCACATTCCATTCAGACTCCATAACGCTATCGGTCGAACGGAAAACCGGATTAAAATCGTCATAAACCGTGTTTAATCGCCGTTGAAAACCTTGAAAATCTTACCCTGATGAATTTTATCTGATTAAATAATATATCGCTATGGCCGAAATAACGCTGAAATGTAGTAGCTAGAAATATTCACTGAAAAGGAAACAATAAGATATCATGAAGTCAAGGGTCACATGTACAGTGAAGACTGGAAGAAATTGGAGAACAAAATGGAACACCAAATGCAATAATCAGTAGTTGTGGTGACCGTAATTGGATGTGCGGTGGTGATACATGCTGCCTGCGTACTCGGAGTTGTTGTCTTGGTAGACAGTGTTTCGACGGTCTTCCTCGGTCAGCAACTCTTTGACTTCCCATGTGTTTGGCTTGACGCCAACGGAAAATTCCAGATCTTCTTTGGTGATGGAGTCCCAAAACTGAGAAAGTCAGTAAGTGTTTACCGCAAATTGCTATAGATAACTCCCAAAGCCTACTTACCTTGTAGATCATCATGACAGCCAATAGGTTGCAGAAAGTAGCGAAGAACAGGCCATCCAGGTAATGCTGAACATTGTTGCAAATCACATCGCTGAATTGATACAGAAGAACCTGACCAATGATGAAGATCAGCACACCGAAGGAGATATGACCAAGCGGCCAGCGGTCTTCCAAGGTGTTGGCAACGAGAAGAAGTTGCATTGCCAAGTATACAGCGATGGAAATAGCATTGAGCAAATAGAGCACCACGAACAATCCAGTGGTGTTCTTAGGGCCCATTGAACCCCAGGACTTGAATGTCGCCAACGAGATCACGAATGACATGGCAAACATCGCTGCAGAAGGAACTCGGATAAGCCAAACTGAGAGCGCTGTTCCGTCTTCATATAGCTGGAAGCCCACGAATCCATTGACGAGTAGACAAGTGCATAATGCTGATATCAAGCCATTCTGGACGGCGACAAAGTAGGGGAACGGGTCGCTACCAGGAGGAACGACACCTGCGTCAATGAGTAGTGAAAATAGAGTGAGAGCAAGGTAGATGTAGAAAAAAGTAATGATCTCCTTGCGACCTATCAATATATCCAAATAGTTAGCGGTGTTGACATGCAGGAGTGGTGCACAGCGAGCTGAGGAAGACTGACCGACAGCAGTGAACTTGGATCTGACATGCAAAATCATAATGACAGTCATGCCAAGCGCGATGATATGCATGAAAGACGCAGCACCCTCGAAAATGATGGTATTGGCCAACTCAATATTGCGCGCATAGCAGTTCGAGATGATGCCCGTGGACCCGGAGATCGACGACGCCGGGCCGACCAGGGAACACAAGGGAACCGGCGCCTTCTCGCATATCGTGTCGAACGAACCGAAGCCCATGATGTCTGATGGGATACCGAGCAGTGTGACCGGAAACAAGTGGATTGTAGTTGCGGGCGGTCACGAAGATTGTCGAGCCTGGACGGCTGGTCTCCACAACGACGAAGGTGGGACGGTGGAGGAGAGAGATGACGGGATTTACGGTTCCCCCGACAGCAGCGTGGCTCTTCTGCACCCCAGCAAAGCTGTTTCACTCAGATTATCCCTGGAAATGAGCGTTGAAGGTTGGATGGCCCCTTATTGTCAAAGGAAGCGAGGGGGGAGTGTCTCAGTTTTCGCCCATGAATCGATCACGGGGTCTAGGGGAAGGGTGGACTGTTTTTCCGCTTCCTAGTTCGGTCTAGCGTGGTTGCTGGGCTCTTTTTCCCCAGAGCCAAATCGTGCTGAGTCAGCTCGGACTCGAGCCCGAGGTCGGCAACGCTAGGCTTCATGGGGGCTAGCCTGAAATTGCCACGTGATACAGAGCCGAACGTACCGAACTAGTCACAGGCCCTAAATTTTGTATGACGTTAAGTTACCATCTACACGAACCCGAGGTATTTGAAATAAGGTAGAAAAAGAGGCGATCATGAGACCCAAATGAGGGACCAAATTAGGGCGAACCTAATGCTTGAAACTGCAGACTCACTGATACTTCATGGCACCATACTCTACAGATACAAACTTGTTACCCCTGGATCAACCCGCGCATGGCAGAATAGCTCAGGGTCACGGATTCACCTCGGCTGCCTCGGCCGAACGACTTTAGAGGTCTGACTACACTCCGTACTCCGTACCGTTATGCCAGTAACCCGCGACATGCCACCGCAGATCCACCAGGCCACGGAAATCCGCCATTCCAAACAATTCGAGACTATTTAGTTTCCGTCTCCACATCCCGATAGACTTGCGATTCGATAAGACTAGCAGAAAGCGACCCCTACCGCAATCTTGATTAGACTATAGCTCAACGGTCAGCAGTAGATACGGCTCAAGTTAGCTTGTTTTTGGGCCGAAAGAAAGAAAGAAACGAAAAAGAAAAAAAACTCTTCGTTTTTCTCCCTTCTCATTGGGTTACTCAATCCCCCGACTGCCGACGCTAAGTGCGATTGCAATTGGTGTTAGGTTGAACTATCGAATTAGACTTGCCCTGCATGTGGATTGCCTTTTTGTCTCCACACAACCTGCGACTGGGGCACTTGTCGCACCATCGCCTGATTCCCTCTCGCATGTTCCAGGGCCTGCCATCATACACTGTAATTTAGTTCACGTAGATCGCCCCTCGCCTATTTACTCCCACTGGCTAGACGGGCTCAGGACTTCTGACCCCTACGCAATTTTGCAGGAACTCTACCAGTTTGATATTAATGCCAATAGTTCCCGGCAAAAGGCCCGTTTCGTCACGGACGGTGGATCCCACTAGCAATTGCACCACTGGTACGGAGTACTCTGTTCAAAATGCCTGCTGAGGGTGCTGTACAGACATACTGTACACTGTACATGGCTGAATGCCGATGATCGACTTCCGAATCGCTCGGAAGTGTAGCTGAAATGAAGTGTCCACTTCGTCATGTTTCAGCTGAGACATATGTCGCCTGTGGGGCATGGTTTCTAGGATTTCCGATCCTGGAGTATGCCGAACGGCTCCAACTCTTATCCTCATTTGCTCTGATTCGCGGCTCAGTCTCGCGGGATGACCGCAGTACAGTCATCGGCCTCCGTCGACGGGTCACTGAGCTTGTTTTACTCTACACGTACTACCCTGAGTGACCTGGGACGGTCCATCCCCTTTCCTAGAGCAGTCTATGATCACCGAGCCAAGCAAACTTCCCTGTACGGGTTATGAATCGTGGCATGATTATCACGATCCCTGGTATATTATCGCTGCCTTTTGTTTGTGCCCAGACCAGGCAACGTATACTACTACCCAGGTCGGTTAGAGCTATCCCCACCAAACGTGCAGTGATAAGTTACCTTGAGTGATGGGGTAAGGCTGGGACCCAAGGGAACTTCATTAAATCTCTCTTTTTTTTTTCCCGCCCCTCTAATCCCTTAAAGTAAAATAAAATGCCTCCATTGATTGGAATTTGTCCCCCGCTCGCCTGCCCAACGCGTCTACTCACCGGGCCAAAACAAACCCAATCCTGGCATGTACAAGGTTACTGCCATCGGACTATCTAAAGAGCCAAACGAACAATTCTTCGGGAGTTGCCTGACCTCAAAGAGTTGGGACACGGGATTGAAGTCAATCCTACTATGAACTCATCAAACACTACAGAATGCGACAGTTGGAGACCGGAATTGCTGTCTTATGCATGAAGATCCCGACTAGCGCCACATGTGAGTTGAAGAAGCATCAACGGCTGCGAGGAACCGTGCCGATCCCCGAGTGTTTCATGATGCATCATAGATCATGAAAGGAGGAGGGTGGGGGACTGTTCAAACCTACATACATCCCCTAACGGTCATACAGATCAAAGCCACGCTTCATGCAGGACCCGCTTGACAAGGATAGGGGGTGATGGTGGGGAGCCGTGCAGTATTGTATACTGCATTTTTTACCTTTGAAATAAAGTAAATTTATTCATTTTCACTGGATTCTTTCCCCCATTTTTCCCGATCGTTTTTTGGTTTTTATCTGTTTCCACCATGTCGCACTTTGGGTATCGAATCCACTCTCCATAACTACTCTTATATCCTCGAGTCTCTGCGACTCGACTGCTTTTTTTTTATTTATTTTGCGTTTCTTCT